TCAAAATCTTCTAAAAAACCCACTAATAAATTTATAACACATCCAAACTTAAATCTAATATCAATGGGTGATGCTTAGATCAATTTCTCGTAACTTTGAGAAACCCTTTGATCCTATGGAAATCAACAAAAACTAGTTTTTTGGGGTTTTTCTCTTTCTAAAATAGGACCTAATGGGGTTTAGGTTTCAAATGAACATAAAACCCACGATTTTGCCCTTTTTATATTAAAAAAAAGACCAAAATATGCCCTCAACGAGGGGCATTTCCGCCCATGGGTGGAGCATGGCCCCTGGGCGGTTGCTGAGCACCCGCCTAGAAGGGAGCCAAGGGACAGGACGCCTAATTTGGCCACTTAGGCCTAGGCAATGCGCCCAGGCCTTTTGGACTGCTTAGGCGGCTGGGCATTGGGCGGTCCATTTTTTACAACAATAAGTATCTTAGTGTATGGATCTCAAGGCTCTAATACCATTTGATGTAGACAGAAGCTCTGATACCAATTGATGTAGATGGAACAGGGAGAAAGAAAAAATAAGCAAAGCAATAAATTAAAATAGAACTAATATATGAGAGAATATACCCTCTCCTAGGGTCTGCAAGAGAATCCACCCCAAAGAGGTCTCTTCACAAGAACCGCAATATTTCTTCTTCTTTTCTATCTCCTTCTTACTGGTCTAATCTAATTTTCCAAATTTTATGTGTCCCAAAAATGACGGTAAACAAATACCAGATAAGTTTGTCATCTAATTTTCCAAATTTTTTTGTGTCCTTACCCGATCCAAATTGATTAAAAGTGCTAAGCCTTAACCTTAAAACTCAAGGTTTTGACATGGACCTTGGATCCCAGAATTTGGCTTTTGTTTATAGAATTTGTTATCAGATCATGAACACTCTTTGTCCTAATGCAAGATTAATGGATAAAAAGAGAATATTTTTTCAAACTAATATGGAAAAATCCATTCTTGTCACGCCTAAAGCTATATGCTGGAAGTAGGTAAATCGGACCAATTGCTCTTGATTATTCATTTTTTGTTTTAAAATAGCACCAAGTCCTTGTTCCGAGGCATCTGTCTCAACTATTTCAAAAGCTGTAGGACTTGATAAAGCTAGGCATGGTAATTTTATTTCAAAAGCATTTGGGATATCTGCACATATATTTTTCTCCATATCTTCTTTTAGAGTTTTAATTTTATTTTGAATCTTTCTTCCACATTTTTGTATTTTATTTCTTCTTTTAGATAATAAAAAAAATTTTCTTTAGAAGAAATCTTATCTTTAATGTTATTGATTTTATGGACTCTAGGTTTTTCAATAAAGGTAAATTTAACCTTATGCCCTTCAATGCTAGCTTCTATCCCAGTATCATCAATCTTAATTGGATAGAGCATATTTAAGAAAGGAGTCCCTAGAATAACAGGTTGACTTGAATCTTTTACCATTATGAAGGGAAAATTGAAACAAGCATCATTATTACATACTGCAGTATCTAACAGTTTATATTTAATAATCATTTTGCTGCCATCAAGAATTTGGGTAGTCTTGCTGAATTATTTAGTTGGTACTAATCCTTCACTGATGCAATTTAGATCTACTCCTGAATCTATCAGGGCGGTAGTTTGGAAAGTATATTTCTTTTGAACCACAATTTTGATATTAGTAAACCATTTTTGTGTTATTATTTTGTTTACCAGGTTTACATATTTACAATCCTGGACCTATTCTATCATGGTCATACCAGCTTTGGAGGTTTCAGGTCTAGGAAGGGTATCTTCGACCTCAAGTGGCAAAGGAATATTATAATCATATTATTGAACAGAATAATTTTAAATGGAAGGAAAATAGGGGGGACCTTTCACCCCAATTTTCCTTGATAGATGGATACGTGTCCCAGCCATTAGAAATAGGGGGGACCAGAATGACTCCAACCTATCAAGGACACGTGTCCCAGCCACTGTAGCCACCAACAAAGCCACTGTAGCCATTAGCCGACAGCCACTGTAGCCACTACCGACAAAGTCACTGTAGCCACTAGCCGACAGCCACTGTAGCCACTACCGACAAAGTCACTGTAGCCACTAGCCGACAGCCACTGTAGCCACTAGCAGACAGCTACTGTAGCCACTAGCCAACGGAATCTTTCACTATAGAAGATAAGGTGTCGGTGCGGATTTCAAACGTTTTCAAATCCGTTTTATTTCGAAGGCTATGAAAGGGGAGGGCTCCCCTCATTCAAGGCATCCGGAGTTTTCCTGAATTTGAAGTCTTCTCTCTACTCTCTTCTCTACAGTCTTCTCTTTGCTCTCTTCTCTACAATCTTCTCTCTACTCTCTTCTCTACAGTCCTCTCTCTGCTGTATTTCCAGTAGTGCTAGTAGCCATCTGGTTTCTTTTCCTTTGTAAAAGTGTAAGAGCTTAAAATTGGTACGAGGGACTGCTTTTGAAAGCAAGTCCCTGACTACATCTCAGAGCAGCTGAAATTATTTACCAGCTTCTGTATCTGTGAAATGTGAGTGTGCTTTGACTATTAATTTTGATTTATGTTCCTTATAGCCTTCGAAATAAAACGGATTAAAAACGTTTGAAATCCGCACCGACACCTTATCTTCTATAGTGAAAGATTTTGTTGGCTAGTGGCTAAAGTGGCTGTCGGCTAGTGGCTACAGTGACTTTGTCAGTAGTAGCTACAGTGCTGTCGGCTAGTGGCTATAGTGACTTTGTCTGTAGTGGCTACAATAGCTGTCAGCTAGTGGCAACAGTGGCTGGGACACGTGTCCTTGATAGGTTGGAGTCGTTCTGGTCCCCCCTGAATTTTCCTTAATCTGAAGAAAATTCAATTCCGACGCAATCGTCACAGTTCATCGGACTGTAATTTCCTGCTCGTCACTTTGAGTAGAGGTGGACATTTTTTCCTCATTATCTTCTATTGTGCTCCAAAGCTTCCTTTTAAGCTCTTCATTGGAAAGGTTGGGTTTTGTTGCTGTAATATTGCAACATATTCTGATATTTCCATTGTTTGCTTTTGGGGTGAAACTGAAGGTATAAGTTTCATTTTTATTTTGTTTGGATTTAGGGATTCATTTCTATAGTTGTCCCACCATTTGATATGGATCTGCCTTCTTAATTCAGGGATATAATCCCACCTATCCATATCATCTACTGAGACTTGATAATCCCATTTTAAAATCCACAAGACCTGATATAAGGCCATAAAATATATATGGTAGTCTCTTTTAAGACTTTATCTATTGTACACAGAGAATTTTCTATGTGAGATTTGTAGTTCTCATGGTAGAATTTGGTTTGTTGATCCCCATAGAGAGAACCAATTTTTAAACCAGTTTGGAAACTTATTTGGCTCAGTTATTTTGAACTGAATATACCAGCTATGGGAATTTTTTGTATTCTGGTATGATAAGACTTTATCCCAAGCCTTTATGTATTCATAGTAGTGATAGGATTTGATTTTAAAGCCTTTCGTATTTATGATCCTTGGCTTTAAAGGATCCAGACCCCATTCTTTGTAAGAAATATGGAATATACCTAAGGTACCTATAACAGATATTTATAGTAAAAGAACGTTTGCCTTCAAAAGTAGTTTTTCTATTAAAACCATTGAACAAAGCATTTCTGTTATGGAAACTCAAGACAAATTCCAATTACTTTCCTCAAGAACGATTGAAGATCACAAAAGGAAAGATTATAAATACTTGCACATTGGTTTGGTACAAATAGTTGTCAACCATCAACAAGGACAGGATTAACTAATTCTGTTCTCCTCTGTTTAAGAGACAGCAGACATAAAAGATTCAATGATTTCTTGCTACGAATAGTTGAATCCAGTCTCTACAATGGCCCCATTTATTTTAATTGTTTTCCAAACTTCTCAGTGGCCTTAACAGACCCGAATTTATTAAAAGTCCTGACCCTAAACTTTAAAACTCAAGGTTTTGATATGGACCCAGGTTCTCAAAATTTAGCATTTGTTTACAGAATATGTTACAAAGTGATGAATACTTTGTGTCCAAATGCTAGGTAAATGCATCTAAAAGGACAAACCATATTTTTCCTGACAAACATGGAAAAATCAAATTTAGTTATACTAAAGTCAGTGGCATGGTCTCAGGTAAAATTACCAGAGCGTTGGTCTTTACAAACTGAATCCCAGATTAAAAATCCTTAAAATAAAGACCCTGAACAAATCATAAATACTCTGATGGAGAAATAGAGATCAGTTTTCCATCCTCTAAAAGAACTACTTTAAGGATTGGTGAATCAAGTATTAGGGATTCTCCTAAAAGCTCGACCTCTTCTGTACCGCAATCCGAATATGAAAGAATACCTTCTCATAGAAGAACTATTATTGAAAGGCTTAATAGGACTCCAAATCAGGTTCAACAACCAGTTTATAGAGTAGATACTCCAGGTTCTTCTATAGATGAATAAGAACCAACACCCTTTGATCTTGACTATGATGTATGTGTTATTCAAAAAGAAGAATTCAAAATTGATAAAGAATGGATCATAAAAGATTTCTACTCTGAAGAAAATAGACCTATAAGAGAATAGTTCTTCAAAGAGTTTAAAGAAACTCTTCGAGATGCCTTCCATTTAAAATTATTCTGTTCAATAATATGATTATTCTGTTCAATAATAATCATATATATATATATATATATATATATATATATATTATTAATTTTGACATCTAGTATATCATTGGTCACCTAGTATATTATTATTAATTTTGACTTGTGTAAAATGATGTCGTTTTAGTAACGGAAACGATACACAATACCTTGGGGACTTCAAATACAATAGAAAAGAGCATAAACTCACAATATCATTTATTAGAACATGCAAGCATAATATAGGCATCTACTCTTATTTTTAAGTATCAAATAACACTTAGAATACAGTTCCACAAAATGGCTTGGTAAGTAAGGAGGATACAATAAAATAGAAGGATACCAAAAAAAGAAAATAATATGCAAGGGTTTCCATACCGCTGAGTAGTTGCCTATTGTCTTTACACCTCCAGCTCCACCTCGAGTAGCACGATGATATTCAGTTGAAACAACTAAATGGATTGGAGACAAATTCCCCTAGTACAAGTATGAGAAGTATTTAATTCCCATTTACATGATAAAAAGATAAAATAGCACCCACATAAGTAAAAAGGAAATGCATAACTAATTAGTATGGCCCATTCAAAGATATAGAACAACTAATAACTGTGGCATGGGTGTCTCAAACTCCTTTTTTTATTAGTAATCATTTGGAAGACAACATATGAAGCAAAAGTATTGCTCCTTGACTTAAAAAGTATGGATCACTTTTACATGAATTCTGAAATCATAATCAGAAAAGAGGTCATCATTGGATCAATAGAAATTAGAACAATCTAATGTCCAATATGATCATATCAAAAATTTGTCAGAAAAATCACAATAATTTCTCAACATAAACTTTGTTTTTCAGATGAATAGGGATAAATATTCCTCTAATGTTTATGGGCGAAATGCATCAAATTTGATTGAGAAAAAACATTGCAGAGAAATTTTATGACCATGTATACGCTATATCTTGTGTTTACCTACTACATTCTAGACATGATATTAACATAATGTATGAGAGTGATACATAATATTTTGGTACAGTTATACATTGTGTATTTTTTTAGGTAGTGATTGTTTAGCAACAAAACAGTGTAAACAAGGGACAAACTAGAATTCAGCTAGCATTCATCCAATCTCATCTTAATGGGAAGGTGGCTAGGTTCAAGAACTCCATTAATCCATTTTATAGAGGACCGGCAAGACAAGAGATTTGTGAAAAGGTCCATGGTCAAGAAGATATGGGTGGGTACTTGTTGAATATATTTTGTCTATTATTAAAATGTAATTTGTTTGCTGCTTGGACATTTTCTACGATGCATCTTTCAATCATACATGTATAGAAACAACATGTCTAATAGACATAAACCATAAACGATATCAAGGAAGAATAAGAAGGAAACAGAGAGAAATGTAGGAGTGTGAAGGCTGCCAACAGTTTTGAGAAAGTGTAAGAGCAGCAAAGACAACCTGTATTCACCATGACCCCCTAGAAAAGATCCACCTGACCCAGATTTACTTTCTTGTTGCTTTTGGGCTAGGGTTTAAAAATCCCAAGAAAATATTATCAAGAATATGAGATCGGGCCAGAGCATTGTTTAATCTGCTTCAATAACACTAAAAACCATCAAGTAAAAAATGTGATTTTAAATTACACTCTCATAAAAGTGATGCTAGAATGATTTTTCAAATCTTCAAAGTACATTTAACCATAGAAAATGTTTTTGTTAAATTGGATATGATTACGTGTAGTATTTTGGCTATTGGGAGTGCTCTGCAAATCCTAAGAACATGGATGTGAAGAGATACTATTCTAGAATTTCAAAAATTAATTGGAAGCTGTGGTTCTTAACATGCCTCTGTTGACCTCCAATCTAAACTCAAGTAACTAAATATTATACTAACATGCCAGAATCTTGGCATGGGAGAAAGCTTCCAAAGATCTTAAGATAGCAGTAGAATGATTGAGCAAATCCGTTAAGTTCTCGACAAAATTGAGATCAATGCTTCCGCCATGCTGACTTGAAGTGGAGGTAATATATTGCCCTTATCTTGCCATATAAGCTGATCCCCAAGCTCGTGCATCATTTATGTAGAACAGCATTTAACCACATGCCAGGGACCTCATGTAATCTCATCTGCTATGAAACAGTTCAAGCAGAGAAATGTCCTTGTAGAGAATGAAGAGTTGATATCAGTCATGGAAATAGGGAATGCACCCCGCTGCAAATCATTTTCATTGTAATGTGGTCTTTAAGGTCTTTGCTTTCCATCGAACTCACTTTCTGTTAGTAGCAAAACAAAATCCCATAATTGCTCCATTACCTTCTTTCCCTCTCAATATATCCTTGAGAATCTCAAATCTAAAAATAAAATTGGTGAAAAATGTGTCTTAGGTCTTCAAAGTCAAATATGCACCATCTCATGGAAAAGGAAACAAAAATCCTCTACTTCTGAGGTAGTCATGTCTAGAACACCATTCTACTCAAACGCTGGGTTATTTTCGAAACTACTATGAGTTTTCTGGTTTCAATTTCGATGGATGTTATTCTTGCTAAGTACACATCACTTGCATAAAAACACAGGCTTTTCCATTTCGAGTAGCACTCTCATGGTGATGTAGTATTTCACTGATACACTGATGTTTAGGAACCAGCTTTTGTCGTCACCTTATTTGGTTATAATCAGTGTATCAAAAAACACTAGGCGGGTCCTAGACGGCTTGGGGGGTAGGCGGGCGCCCAGAACCTGGGCGGCTGTCAGTTGAAATTTGAGAAAAAAGTAAAAACATACCATATTCCAAGTTGAAAAAAAAAAAAGATAGACGTTGAGAAGAGAATTTTGATAATCCATATTGTTAAAACAGTAAAATTTAAAACCATACAAGTGTAGTTAGGATATAAAAGTCAACACTCAACACAACAGAAATTTAGAAAATATACAGTATAACAAAAGTCAACACTCATGACTCAACACAACAGTCAACACACTCAACACTCAGAACTAAGAGGCAAGAGTTTTCAGTCGTCGTCATCATCATCATCATCATCAGAAGGAATATCAATAGGTCAAGCCTCATCATATGCATTAGAGTCGAGGCCATCATCATCAGAGTTATCTCCCTCTTCAATATAACGCTCGTCCTCCTCTGTTTCTTCTGAATCTGCCTCTTCCTCCTCTTCTTCTTCCTTCTTCTTACTAGCCTGTGCAGATGAGGCCCTAGGAGTTTGGCTGCTCTACCCTTTTCTTTGTGCTTCTCTGAACTCAAATATTGTATAATTTCCTCCTTAGTAGCCTGAGTAACATTTTTACAAAGGGCAAAATCCCTTTTAATGCCGGCAAGGTGTTTTTTAAACTGGTAAATGCCCCCATTAGTATCCTTTCCACAATAATTACATTTAATACGATTTTTATCACTTGGATTCAGGTTATAACCATACTTCCAACCCGAATCACCACTCCGTCTAGAACTTGGAGAAGATACTTCCATAGAACAAGGTTTATTTACATCATTTTCTGGTTCTTCAAAATTCAAAAGATGTCTAATCTCATGCCCAACTGCTTCAGGAACCTTTGTACAAGAAGCAACATTACCTTTAACGCCAGCAAGGTGTTTTTTGAATCAGCTAATACCCCCATTGGTATCTTTTTCACAAAAATTACACCTTATACAATTTTTATCATTTGGTTTTTGGTTGTACCAATATTTCCAACTCAAATCACATTTTCTAAGAGTAGCATAAAGAGATCTATGACAAGGATTTTGTTCTTGTTTTTGTTTTACATAACTTATAAATTGCTTAATCTCCTCTCTGATACCTTCAGAAACAGTTTTACAAGGGGCAACATCCCCCTTAATACCGGTAAGTTGTTTCTTAAACCAATTTATGCCTCCTTTTGTATCTTTTCACAAAATTTGCACAAAACGCAATTTTTGCAATTTGGATTCGGGTTGTGTCCATATTTCCAACCAAGTTCTCCACTCCAACTAACTCCTGAAGAAGACATCTCAAAATAAAACAAGCAATCTAAAAAATGCACTTACTTTGGTTCTCGAACTCCAAACTTTGAGAAACACTTCGACGATTCGATCCAATGAAATGTAGTTTTTTGGAGGTTTTTTTCTCTCTAAAAGGATTTCTTGTGGGTTTAGGTTTCAAATGAACCTAAAACCCATCTTTCTAAGCTTTTATATCTTGAAAGAAAAAATACTTTTCCGCCCTTGGGCAAGGCGCAAGCCCTGGGCGACCCACCTAGGCGACCGCCCAGGGACCATCGCCCAGTTTGGCCGCTTAGGCCTGGGCAATGCGCCCAGGCCTTCTGGACCACCTAGGAGCTGGGCGGTTTGTTTTTTGGAACAATGGTTATAATATCCCGTACTCTTCATTGATGGCTTCTCCAAGTACTTGGATGTCCATCACAAATGTGAAAGATGAAGTTCCTTGCATCCCCAAATCCTTTTAACAAAAGGGTTGTCACTCCGCTCGATTCAAGAATGAAAGTCTTCTGACTGTGTAATGTTAAATACCTTTTAATCCAGTATTGATTTCTTCATCGATTGTCAATGTTTCTAACCTTTATCTAATAGTAAGGCATCCTAACTTTGGATGAGCACTAACTCATTCTAAAGCTTGCTTATTGTAGTACATTCATTTTGTTAGTGACTTCTATTTATATGATTTCTTAGATATGAATTAAGTCCTTCATAAGCATTCAGAAAAATCCACCCTATTGTTTTTGCAACACAATTCAAGAAGGAGAAAAAGAACAAAAAAACAAAGTAAAAATTCATCATTCTGGTTGGCAGCAAGAGTACATGTTTTCAAAATTTTAAAGATCATTAAATAGTGAGGGTATTAAGAATCAAAAGACTGGCGGATATATAGTATGACAAGTAATTGTAGAACATAAAAGTCACCATAACAATAAAACAAATATTGTACTTATAACAATTGAAATGGGAAAAAAGCTGATTCCCCTACTACAGCATTCTTATGTTTGTAATTCCTTTCTAGGCAAACTTAACACAAACATACATCAAACTTATCAACATATTACCAACTGTTGTCCTAAACAATACCATAGTGAAAACTAAGAGACTAACAGTTGATATGGACCATTAACCAATCATCTAAAATTTCAAGCATATTTCATGCCAGAAAGAATAACCTAAATAAACATGTTCATTTCTTAGCACATTTCAGTTCAATTTATGTGGAGAACTTGGAAATTTTGGCACAAGAAGTATATAGTTGACAAACAAAGATCCAAATTTCGGACATTAAGCCCCAAAAATTTTCAGAAAAAATTATACACAGGGAAAAATTAAAGTATCTTATGAAGCTTATTTTCATTGCATTGGGACCACATAAGATATCCAAACCAACCTTGAAATAATTTCCAACAGGAGAGACAAATATAAGAAATGTGCACTCAGGAGAGGGAGCAGGAGGTAAAATAGATCCACTTCCAAAAAGCAAGGGCCGGATGTACAGAGCGCCTTTTTTGAATGGAGGTACCTGAAAAACAGAATTATGTTAAGGCTAATGTCAAACTTGCAAATAATAAACCATTACTAATTGTTTTGAATGACAAGTTTGGAATCAAAATATAGCACCCAGCGCTGATTGGCCAAAACGACTTCCTTCACAGCATTCACAAATTGTTCCACCGAAGGGCATTCCATCAATAAGCGAGCTGCTCCCATCTTCATTCTCAAAGCATTTTCCTCTGGACGAAACAGTAAGATACCACCATCTTGCTTTCTGTATGCTTTCAATCCTTCTAATAAACCCTAAATAAAATAAAAAATAAAGAATTAGAGGCAGGGGAAAGCCAAAGCAATTTCACACATTAGATTCCCATTTTGATGGTAAGAATCCGCATTATTTCCAGGTAAATGTGATTGTTCAATAACCTTTCAGAAAAATACACTTCAAGAAAAATTTGCCAAATAGGGTAATACCAAAGTTATTCATAAATATATATCAATATCATTCATAAATATGCCAAGAGAAACTCCAAAAAACCAAGATTTTCTGCTAGGCATTAATTTCTCAGCGAACAATTCACAGAAGAATAGAAATTCTCTTTTTAGAAAGAAAGTACAATATACTCTAGAAATCATAGAAAACAATATTAGAAGATTTTGCACAAAACAAAACCTTCTAGACATGAGAGAAGAAAAAGAACCCAATATGAAAGTGCAATGTCTTAAAAAGGATATCTCTATAGACAAATAATGCAACAAAACAAACAATTAAAAAAATACAGTAGGTAAGGCAACCTCTTTGAAAATCAGTTTAAACAGGCCGTCTATTTTATCCAAGATGAAGACATAGGATACAAATTGTCATAATCTATCAGAAGGAAAACGTCGGTTTTGCTGACTAGAAAACCCACAAAAGTATTCTTTAAAAATGATGACAAACAACATTCAAAAAACAAAAAAATGTCCTTTTGGGACGAAACCAAACCCAGAATATTGCTAGCAAGAAAAAAAAAAAAAGAAAAAAAAAAATGTTGGATTATAAAAAACAATAAGCTACAAAAGAAAATTTATCTAGACTACACCCAAAGATGGCCATGATAAATGATACCAGAAAAGTGGTTCCATTTTCAAGTTTAATACATTAGGAGCATATGTAGAATTATGAAGCACTAATAGTTGTCGTTATCCAGTTCCAGGTATATTCATGTGTAGTATTAAAGAAACATATCCAAAGCTTAAAAATGTTAATATTAAGTTGTGTCCAAGGAAATATCCAGGAATTGTAGCACAGTAGACCAAAACTTAAAACTCAAATACAAACATCACAGAAAATTTACATAAAAACACTAAGTGTCACTGTTTTTAATGCACCAAGTGAATAACACGTTGACTTCAGATTATACATTTTAATGTTTCATTTATTCCAAGGGAAAAATGAGAGCATGCATTTCATTTGTCAGTTTTGATCTATTGTGCTCTTCATTATTATCTAATTGGGCCAAGATAGGACGAACAGTTATTTGAAAAGCAGGACGGAAGGCAAATGGAACACAACAGCAGGTCTATTTTCTCGGTCTGTTATATCAAGTCATGAGCCCTGATCAAATTAGTTTCGCATATAGTGACTAATACTTGGGTCCAGTCAATTGATTATGAGCCTACGCAACATTACTTATTTAAAAGGAACTGATTTGTGTAATGAATTTTGGAGGATGTCTTTTTGCTTCGTTCATTAAGACACGACCTTATTTGCCTAAGTCATATACATGAAGACCGAAACCCTCAAGTAATTGAAAAAATTGTAACTAATGTACATTAACATGGATCAAAGAAAACAAGTGTCATATGCCAAAGAAAAACAATTCCTATAATGAAGCTTCATCACATGGCAAGAAATAAGGGATCTCTTTGGAATTAAAATTGTGTAGTATGAAATAATAGAATCCATTGATCATTTGAGAGTAGTAGGAAATCCAAGGAACAAAAAGCTATATTGAAACTTCTGATACTATGAGCATGCCTTTTACTCTTGGATTTTATATACGAGCCTTACCAACATGTTCTAATATATGAATAACGAAAAAGAAAAACTTGATTGTATAGAAAACAAATCTCATACAGTTGCAGTACAACTACATCAAAACTCAAGAAAATAAAACTTGAATTTTACACAATACACTTAGAAATTGAACTTACAAAACGAAATTACAGCAAGATTACTATGATTATAGTGGAAAAACGATTTCAAAACACACTCAAAAAGAGAGAATACAACTCAACTAGGGTCCCTTGTCCATCAACAAAACAAACTACTCAAGGAGATCATCAAACTGCACATGTATTAGGTGCTTTTGAAAATTCTGCTCCACTCAAAATTACAATGCAAATTTATACATCAACGGACTTCATAAAACTCAATATAACATTATCTCCAACATAACAACACACATATGCTTAAGTGTATAATGCAACATGTCCATGAGAAGCCGATTAGAGCTCTCGGGTGCCCGGTTTACAGCCTTGTATCTTAACTATGTGCCTTTGGGTGACATGTGTGGCATAAGTCAAAATTCAACCAAATTAAGCATCTCATGAGTGAGAATCCAAGCATCTATTGATAAACACTTAAACATGGAAGGATTTGCACAGATCAAGTGATCAAAGGAAGTGAAAAAATCATGGGAGAAATCGAGGCTCTAAAAACACAAAATTGGTTCAATTGAGTTGACAAATTGAGCCACATAAATTCGGTATATCCCATCTTATGAAAAGTTTTAGAATTTGAGGAATCAAAATGAAGATCTAATTGACTGATTTGGGAATGAAAATTTCATAAAAATATCAGTAAAAAATGCACCAAAAATCATAGGTAAAAGCTCATGACAACTAGATCAAATTGTGCATGGATGTTACCTTCGACTATATGGATCAAGAGGATCAAGGTAGATTCAAGATATCAATGATCTATTTCTAACATCAAAATGATGAAGATAGCTTGTTGTAATTAGGAATTTACTGCAAGAAGAATAAACTAGAGCCAAGGAAATTGAAGAGATCTTACTCAATTAATGAAAGCCTTAAGACTAGATCATTTATGGCTTGAACTTGAGCTTCAGATCACCATTAATGGAGTTATCAAGGAGCTTCAATGGAGCTTTTACTCACATCATCTTCAAACCAACATTCAAGAGAGAGAAAGGAAGAGGAGAAAGCCTAGGGGGGTGCCACTTTGATGGATAGAGAAAGAGAGAAGGGCATGCCACTTAAAGAGAGAGAGAGAGAGACAGTGAACTCATATGTTGTGGTGTGAAAGCTTAAGGGGTATTTTCAAGGTATGGTATGGATTTAGACACCTTTATCCTCTTTTAATTCTCTCTAATTTCCCTTGTTATTAAAATGTCCATACTCTTCACATTAAATTAGATAAAAAACTAAGTTGGAAGGCATACCCTTATGGTAATTTGTCAAAAAACTAACAAAAAGCAAAATTCAAGAGGTCCCTCCATTTTATAAGAGCATGTAAGACAAATGAAATCATGCCTCATAAGCTTGGTGGTTAATTGCACGATTACCATATACCCTTAGGGTTCTTGTAATTACAAACCCAATGCTCTTTCTAGAAGCCTCACACCTGTGCACAAGCCCCTTGCTTTTTCACATTTAACATGTGCTCAAAATATTTTTCTAAAATCACAATATTCCATAAAATACCATAATACAATGCCCTGTACTTAATCAACAAAATACAAAAGGACATGGGGGTCCCTAAGGGGGTGGACATCACCCCACGTCATCCTCCATGTGGGGTGATGTGGAACCCACAAGGCCTCCACGTGGACACTCATTGGCCATTTGGGTGTCCAATGTGAGTCCCGAAGGACTATCCTTAATTATCATTTCATCCAAACAATTTTGAAAAATGCATTGTCTTGCTCAGAAAAATCTAAAAAAATTCTCAAAAATCCACAAAGATCATTTTAATCATGTTTCATCAAAATAAATCATTTTAGTATTGTTTAAAAACATTTACAAGGGAAATTAAGATCCTTGGAGCTGAATTATGAATTGGAGCGCTCCACTCAACTACATCTGAAATCCAAAGCCACCTTCTCGGTATGACCCAGCAAACTCATGACCCATAGTGTATAATCAAGGGCTCATGATCTTAGCCTATCAAAGTTAAACCAATGAGTAACCCCAAATCCCCAAGTATAAGTGGAATTCAGGTGCACCCCCTAGAGGACATGCACACACATAGTGTGGAGGTTCCTCTCTTGGCATATGTGCATACATACTTCTTACTAGTGGATCCCTGGAAGAACGGCTTCCTATGCATTGCAACTGTATATGCACATACCACAAAAAGATTCTAAGTGTCAAGGATTTAGGCCAATGCTCTCTGTCGGCGCTAACCTTTCCGTATAGGGCTATCTCATCATCAAGCTCACTTCACATAATTATAGATTTCATCTCCTTCCTTTTCTTACATTTTCTTTTCCCTCCTTCCCGTCACATAAATTTAGGTTCCACTTTCCCTTCACATAAATCTAGATCGTCTCTTCTTCCTCTTCGTAAATCTTCTTCTTCCTCTTTCCCTTCAAGGGGTAACATCAAGGGGCATGACACACCAAGACATAAGTTCTCTTTCTTTAGGGCTTCACTTCCATACATTTCTCTCTCTAGGGCATGATGCACCAAACTGTCCAGCAACTCTTACTTCTTGTCTCTTGCCAAAATCTCAAAATTCCTCTCTTTGAAACCATAATTCTCTGCTCTTTTTCTATTATTTCTTTCTGCGATATCTTTAATGATCTCCAAGGCATCACGTGCTTAATTTTATTTTATTCCTTTGGAGCATCACGTGCACACTTTTCCAGCAACCTTTCCCGAAATTCCAACAACCTTTTTCTCTTTCGTCTCAACTTCTAGCCCAACATAATGTCTTCCTCCAACCCATTGTTTATGGTGACTTAGTTGACTTCATCCAATTCATGACATGGAAAGCCATCATCAAACCATTCGATCAAAGCCAAATCCTCATGGGACTTTAGATGGTTAATCAAAAACCCTTCTGAACTTCTTATCAAATCCCACATATGGGAATGATGAAGAGTCTCATTTATAATTCCCACATATGAGGAATGGTTTGCTACTAGTCAACAACTAATTGGATGGACTATTGCAAGTCTTTCAGAAGAAATCCTTGTAGAAATCATTGAATGCCAATAGCTACGGAATCATGGAAGGCTCCATGAATCCTCCTCACAAGAGTCAAAGGCACGTGTGATGCACTCGAAACTTGC